AGCTGGATTCTCTGATGAGAATCCCAGAGAAGGGCCTGGAGACAGCTTTGGCCTTGAGTAAACTCTACGACATTCCCTGGCTCGGCCAAGGGAAAGGCAGCAGGAGGAAAGAGCAGAGGAACCGAGGCAGCCCGGCCCCCACCTCATGGTCCCAGGCTCCTGCCATAGGGGCACTGAATTGGTGCCCCACAGGGTCAGACCTACAGGGAAACAGGGGGCTGTGGGGTGGGAGTGAGGGGTACCAGGAGAGCTGGTGGGATGGGGGCTGTGAGCAAGAGGCACCTGGAAAGCTGTGGGGGCAGGGGGCTGTGTGTGGGAAGCGAGGGGATACCCAGGCCAGGCTCAGTGTGGTCCGTTTATCGCTAGCTCTCCATGGCCGGGGGGGCTGGCACCAGAACACACCAGACAGCAAAGCTCAGAGCTGCCAGGCACTCCCACCCCCCAGCAGCCTGAGAATCCATCCCCCGGGGGTCAGGCCAGACAAGGGACAACAGAGGTACACAGGGGAAGATGGTGACCTGAGCCTTGGGGGTGTCCCCATAGCAGGTACAAGACAAGGACAACTTCCCTCCCTCACACCCACCCACCACAGACTGAGACCTGACCACCTCATTACGCAGCAGCAAATGAGCATGAGACGGGACTGAGCTGGAGCCAGCTGACGCTGGCACTCCCCCGCTCCACTGCTTGACACAAGAGGAGCTGTCCCACTCCCTAACCCCCTGAGTAAGCCTGCCCCCAGCCCTGAGGTCAGACTGGGGTCAGTGCCCAGAATAGAAGAAAGCCCCTGCCACAAGCTGCCCCTAACAGGCCATGCCAGGCATGTAACTGATGGGTTCTGGTTTCCAACAAATTTCCCTTGCATGGGGGAGGCTGGCAGCCAGGACACCTGGGTTCTATCCCCGCTCTGGAAGAGGAATGCATCCAGTTCCATGAGCTGCCTACCCTGACTGTGGACTCCTCTCTGCTTTCAGAGCTGGGCTTTGAACCCAGGCATCCTGATCCTCTCAGTAGGAAGACCTGCTGGCTGGTTTCCACCCCTGCTGCTCTGATCCCCCAGTCCCACCTGGGTGGACTCTGGTAAACAGAAACAAAGGCTGCCCTAGCGATGTGGGGAATTGAGCAGCACGGACCCTGGGGGAGCTGATGCCCCTTGGCAGGGTGCAGGACTGGGCATGCCCATACAGAGCATAATGGCTCCAGCTGCCTTGATGTAGCAGCACTGTCTGAGCTGGAGGCCTTTCCCTCCTCCCTGCCCCCACCATACTGTTTCCTTTGCCAGAAGCCCCAGCGCCAGGACTCCCTCCCCAGCTCTGCTGCCACTTAGTTACCCCCCTCAGCCCTCCTTGCCCACCCTCCATCTGCACCTGCCCCTGGCACCCAGTTCCCCTTCCTTATTCCCACCCCACCACCCACAGCACACACCTTATTCTGTAACTACCCCTCCTTCCAAGTGCCCCACTCCTGCTCCACGCCCCCCCAGCTCCTGAGGATACTTCCCCTCCAGCACCTGGCACTCCCCATCCCTGCCTCTGGTCCCCAACTGCCTAACCTTAGCTCCTTCACCCCCTTGCTCCTGACCCTACCAGCATGACAAGCCCCTGCCAAGCCCTACCCCCTTGCTTCCCAGATGCACCCTTCCCATGGGGGCTCTTTCTACCCTCCCCCCCTCCCCCAAGGTTCCCCTCTGCCTAGATCCAATTGGCAGCCCCTGAACTGGAGGGATTAGAGGACAAGAGACAATCAGGGCTTCCGCTTGCCAAGGAGCAGCAGTCAGGTGTTCCCTCCCACTGCCCCAACACCCCCAACCCCAACAACTCCCTCCTCCTATGCTCCCCACCCCTCAACTGGCTACCCCCTCCTCCTCACTCCCTGCCCCAACAGCTCCCTACAACTACTCATCCCCCTCCCCTCGGGGCTTGAGCTTGGCAGTGGGGTGCCACCATTCACAACAGCAGCCACTTGCTCCCCACCCCCAACAACCTCAAGGACCCCTTCTGCAACCACCCCTCCTCCTCCTATACCCCAGTACTGTCCCTCTAGCCCTCAGCTCCCCCCAAACCCTTCTTTTCCTACCACCCCCCACCCAAAACTGCCCGTTCCTCCTCCCTCTGTTGTCCCTCACCTCCTCCCTCCCCAGCAGCTATCCCAACCCCCTCTCCAGGGCTTGAGCTCACCAGAGGGGATCCCACTTCTAAAAGCACCAAACACTTGTTCCCCCACACTACCCCCAACCCCAAGGACCTCCCCCCCAACAACTACCCCACCCACCTTCCCATAGCTTGAGCTCACCAGAGGGGATCCCACTGCTAACAGCAGCAGCCACTTTGCCCCCACACTACCCCCTCTTCCTACCCCAACTGTTCTCAGCTCCCCTAATAACTGTCACCTCTTCCTACCCCAAGGGGCCTTCCTTC